ATGGGAGTCCTTGGAGCCAACCCCAAATGTGTATTATTTATAGCTGCTTGAAGTAGAAATCACACAGGCAGTGGCTTGAAAACAAAGACCTCTTCTTCAAGTGTGAAATTGCATGTCTGATTGTGGAAGAGGAGGGAGGGGATTTGTGGCAACTTTTCCTGGCCAGTATAGATGCACAGGTCACACCTCTAATACTTTGTTGGGTTGTGCAGGATGTTCAGTGGAAAGTGGGAGACAATTCTGTTCTATGAGTAGAGTTTTGCTTGTGATCCTTTGGATCCAACCTAGTATAATAGCTATTTAAAATATGGCAGTTTTTCTTACATTATGCAAAGGAAAGTGTTTCACATTTATTTATTTAGTCGCATAATATAAATTTATTGTTTATAATTGTTGCTTATAGAACTGTACTCTTGGAATTGTCTCTGGTGGAGCAATGTACTTAAACACTGAAGATGGGGAAGACTGGTAATTTTCAGTGGATGGGAGAATATAGCCTCCTGGGGGGAAATCTACAAATCTTCAGTGGCTTTTAGAACATTTTTGGGCAAATGGACTTTCAGATTTTAAACCATTTCTCTTTACAACATGTCACTGTAACATGATTATAGATTTCTCAAAAATAAATGCCCCATTTCAGTTATTGCTAAGGTAAGATAATCACTAAGATTTTAAAACGTTCTGTTCTTGGAGGATGTAAATACTTGAAGGAGATATTTGGGTAAAAATGCCTTTTATGGTGCTGCAGTTTGGCATGCTTGCTTGCTTGCTATAGATTTTTGGCAGGATTTTTTTTTAAAGTGGCTTTTCTGCCAGAAGATTATCTATAAAATGATCCACAGAAACTAAATTACATTCTCTAAGGGGATCATATTGCATGATGGTTTCTCAGTTTGGAAAGATGTGAATCAATCAAGGTTATAACTTCACCAAATACTTCTCAAATATTTAGAATATTTCTAGTATAATGAAGAAGAAGCTTGAATATACACTAGCCTTAGAGTGATAAAACAAAGAATATATGTGTTATTTCAAGTTACAGTATATAACACTGTACAGAGTTGTTTTCATCCAATGTAAAAAAACTGTTTTCTTGCTATTTTCTCTAGTCCTGATGTCTATTTGTGTTCCCTTACTCCTTTTAGACAATCTTTCTCTCACAGGATGCTGCTGAAGCCTTTGTTTGTTTGGTATTTATATTTTAATCTCTTATATTCCCATTTCCTTTTGATTTCTTCATCCCACTTCTCCTCCACCCTACCCACCCTTGTAGTTGATAAACCCCCCCCCCACTCACCAGCCAGCCATAATTTGTTGCCTCTGCTGAGATAGGGCTGCAGCTTTTGGACTCTGCCTGCCACTTGATGTTCCAGCAAGGCGGTCCCAAGCACACTCACTTCTCCTCCCGTGGAGCTTCTCCCCCCCCGTGAGTATCGTGGGTTCCCCTTCTTGTTAGCTCTAATCACCAGCCAGCTGTGGTCTGCTGTTGCCTCTGCTGGACTCTTCCTGGTTCTTTTCCTGATATTCTGGCAAGGCAGTCCCAATCATCTTCTGAGATTCTTCTTTGCCTGTTCTTCAGTTCATTCCTCACTACTTTCCTTCTCACTTGATTCCAAGACCTTGCTGTCCTCCTTACCTGTTCATGCACTTCTTTCTTTTCTCTCTCTCATTGTCTCCAGTTTCTGCCTCAATGGTATTCCTCTTCTTTCTTAAACTCATTACATCCTCTTCATCCAATTCTTGCCCTTGTTTTTAATGCTCCTTTTGTTCCTGCATTCCGAAAAGTGATTGAAAATGTATCTTTCTTGTGTTGTCTCTTCTTAATTTAAAATTCTGTTATTTTCCTAGTTAATAAATCATCTTAGAATTCCCCCGTTCCTTCAATTTGTCTTCTTTTTCATGCTGAAAGTACTTTTTTTCTTTGACTTTTTTACTGTAACATTCTACTGAAACGGCTTTGAAGATTTTTTGATTTTTTAAATGGAGGATGCCATGGAGAGGTGGAAGTCCAACAATAGCTGTAGTAGCTGGGTCAGCAGGATTATAAACACCATCTCAGCCTTACCTCTCCAAACCCCCTTGCTGTTTTCAGGAAGGAGCAGGAACCAGAAAGTTGAGAGAGCTTGGCCAGAGTCCCGCTTCCCACTCTGAACATCTTGAGAGGAGTATTTTTATCTGGGCTGCTGCAGAGCAGAGGAAAAACAGCAGCAGTATCTTGAGGAGTTTGGGGAGATGACAAGAAGAAAACACTGTGAAATAAGGGCAAAGACAACACTGCTTAATAACCCATTCTATGCAAAATGCAGTTTCCTCTTCATAAGCAAGTGTTTTCTTTAGAAGCAAAACTCTACTGCTCCATTAGAACACTTTCTGCAAAATGCTTCAGCACCAACAATTGCAACCATTATTTGTATTGTATGCTGTAAAAGATCGTAAACTGCTAAATAAATGATGATAGGCTCTATTTTCTATTATTCTCCTCTATTTTTCAGTAGCCTTTGACATGTCTGATCACTTTCTTCTTGCTAGCTCTCATTGTCTGTGAGTTACTAATCCTTTCTTGATTTCAATCCGTTACAAATTATTCTAATGAAGTGTCTACCAGTGGTGGCAGTTATATCAGTTTGTCTTTCTGCTGGCATTCCTTAAGGCTTAGTTCTTGGGTCCCTTGCTCTTTAGTCTTTGTACTAGCCCTTCTTTTGGCCAGTACATTACTACTTTTGGTGTCCAATGACAACGTTATCCACAATGATCTTTCTGTTTCTTCATTCTCTCTCCTTGTTCTTACTAATATTTCCAGTTATGATTATAGTTATTTCCACTGCAGTGTTGAACTGTCTCAAACTTAATGCACTGGACTGAATTTGCTGTGTGTTCTCCCTAAACTGTCATGATTTTTTTTTCTGTTGAAAACGTCACTGTTCATTTTTTACCGCAAGTTAAGTTCTTGTACATTAGTTTGATCATTCTCTTTGATTCTCACATTATTATGCTGATTAATGTTTCTTGGTTCTCTTTTGTATTTCTAACATTCTTTGAGCTTTCAGTCATGTTATATCTCTCTTATATATAAAAGCCGGGTGGTGGCTTCTGTCCTATGGGGAGGCAAGATTGCATGCGCTCCCTCAGCCATTGGCCCGTTGGCTGCCAGTCAAGACTACTGGCATGCCATTGGCCGGGTCTGCTCCTCTTCCCCGCCCGCTCCCCTTTCAGCCACTGTTCTCTGTCAGAAGTTCTGTGTCTCCCGACGAACACACTTCTTTTGCTTAGAGCCTGTGTGGGACAAAGTTTTCCCTCAGTGGCTTTTGTGAGGAACTCATAGGATTGCCAGCTCCAGGTAAAGAAGCCTGTTTAAGGAAGCCAGAGTTTGGGGAGGGGAGAGGGGAGGCCTCAGCTGAATAGAATGCCATAGAGGCCACCGGCCAAAGCATTCTAACTTCTCCCTCAGTGGCTGTTGGTAGGCAACCAAGCTTGGTTCTGCCAGTAAAGAGACAAAGGAACAAAACCCT